TGGCAGGCTGTTTATTTTATCTGCAGTGCAAAAAGCAACTCAAAAGAAAAGAATAAATTTGTTATAAAAGTTTCATTGATTATCATAAATTGACGTAAATGAATGTTGTTATTCAAAGACGTGTCCTCGAGCCAATTGCTTTACCATTGAGCAATATGCACCCAAGTAAACGAAAGGTTATCAAATAGAAACATCGTTTTACGATTGCAACCGGCTTTCGGGTATCTTTCTCCTGCTATGTTTTTTTTATGTAGATTCATTAATACACTTAAAGAAGCAATTACGAGCTCTCTTTAAAGTGAAATAACCAGGATAATAATAATAGTAATAATAATTGTTGAGGGGTTCTTCCTTTTTTACACAAATGGACTCACCCAGTATATACATATACTACTGCTACGAGAAGACCCGAGAGAACAGAGCAAGACCGAGGAGCCGAGTCGAGTCCAGAGTGACTGAGTAAAAGGTTGTAGTTAACCGGAAGAGTGAGGGGTGAGGTAACAGCGTTGTAGGAGTCACAGTGAGCGAGCACGTAAAATAAGTAAGAAGTCATACATCGATACTTCAATACCAAAGACTGTATATATATTTTGCTACTAACACGTATTCCTGGAACTACTAACCTGCTTTACCAGTTTGTATTTTTACGTTAATACATTATTTTCCTATATTCATTCCTGGCCTTTGTTATTTATTGGTACCGGATTTCAACCCGGAATCCACAATAATAATAATAATAATAAGGAAGAAGAAGAAAATTAAGCTGCATACAATTAGAATTAGATTCTATGAATGATTAATCCCGGGTCAATGGCATTAAAGGTAAGAAAGAAAGCCAAGATCCATGTGCAAATTTTAAAAAAATAATAAAAGAAACGAAATGAAAAATCACACTGATAATAAAATTAACATTTAAAAGAAAATAAATTAATGTAAATTTTTCTATTGTATTTCATTTTGTTTGTTTCATAAGTTTTGCTGTGTCTCCAACTCAGTGAAAAATGTTCTTGTGCTGTGTTTTCTCTTGCGAAACTTGAAATCTTCACAGCTGAAATTTGCCGAAGCAGTAAGAGAAGAAGAAATTATGATTATCTAAAATATGTAACAAGAGTACACGTAATACTCAATTTGTTTTATTTCATTATTATGTAAAGAGAATATACGAGCGTGTTACACAGAGTGCGGCATAATTACCTTCCACATAATGAAATGAAATAGATGAAAGCAGCATTGTCACTAATCTCTTACCATTATATGGTAGGTATGGTAGATGTGGGGGGGTATTTCTGTTGAACCCTGTATAATTGTGTTGGTTTCTGCAGTCGTGAAAAGCATAAGAATTCTTTCAAATTAGAATTCACTCTTTGCGAAGGCATTGCAAATATATTAAATACGTGTAGTAAAAACAGAACTAGTGAATAAACTTAAACCAAAGCTTTATTGCACTTTACACTGACTACTCGTCTACTAACGGATTTACAGGGTGCTTTTTATACCTCCTCGATCTTAAGGGGAGGTAACTGATGATTTATCACTACAATACGTTGTCTGTGCTCATTCTCTCATAGAAATCTTTTCTAACCAGGCCAAATGTACTGCTGATACAGGACAAAGAAAGTAATGGTCGAAACGAAGCTATAAATCTAACAAGAAGTATACTAGTTTCAATAACTAGTGATATAATGGTCAAAACAAATCTCATAATTTCAGAAGATAATTTTACTTTTAGCTAAATATTTTTCGGATTGATTTATTTCGAAATATTATTGTTTTATCAATGTTTTTGAATGATAACTTGAAAGAAATATTTTATCAAACATTTTTGTAGGAACATCAACAAGTCTATTCATAAAACAGAAAAGTTTTCACATAATTTTTTAACATATTTTAATTCGTTGTCAATGCACTTAATTCAATGGTGAATATACTAAGCACATAGATCAACTATTATGCAGTAATAGTTTTCAAGCCACTATTAAGCTAATAAGTACATGTCAGGTGTAATAAATGTATTTATTGTTTACCAATTGTTATATAAGTGTTTATAGTGCTTAGTATAAATCAATTCATATATGAATATCTTTCTTGATGCAGAGATCAATAAAAAGATAAACGCCGTGTAATCAAAAGAACAAATTTAATTTTGATGAATTACATAAACAGTAATTAAAGTTCAGTTTTTGTTTTGACAACATTTTAGATTAAGATAGCGTGAAAAGTTAATTCACAATGATGTACAGCAAGGGATGTATGTAGCCAGTGTATAGGTTGCGCGTGTGTGTGTTCGCGCGCCAGTCGATGTCCCTGTGCATCTGTGTGAGAAAAGAAGGTAGTAGCAGAAGTTAGCCTGCTAGTTTTTGTCAAACACTACCGTTCAACGGTAGGTCAGCTGAAATTGATTGAAAGCAGACGAATCTGAAAGATACACACAATAAACATGAACTTATTTGCCATTTGATAAAAAAGAAATATTATTTGAAAAAGGTTCGTTTTTAATAATAACATTTTTAAAAAAAAGCCCGTAGAAGAGTCGAAATGGGAATAATCGGTTTGAAAATGATTTACATGCAGTGTGATCCCGAAAGAAAACTTAACAAAACTGAAATTTATTTCGACTTTTTACAAGAATATGATAGCTCGAATAATGTTTAAATTTGACGGAAAATTGTTTGTTAATGAGATATCTAATTGGACAAAAGTATTAATCAATATATTATGCACATTTTTATTGGATGAAAATGAAATATCAATAACATATTTCTCAGTTGGAATTTTTTTTTTATTCATTTTTACTTTTTAACTCAGTGTCCTTTATGTTCGCTCCAGGTGTTCTGATTAATTAGAAAATCATTTTTTCATTTTTTAAATCATTTTTGGACAACATAATGATTCGGCTGAAATTGCCATTATAATATCTCACTTTTATGTAATTACGTTGCTCAGCAAATATACCATTTAATAATATACTATTGAACTGTACACACATAGAACATATTCAGTAGTATTATATAGTGTTAATGTAATATTTACCTTAAAAATAAATATGTTATGCACATTAGGGTTATGACATTTTTATTACCCTATATTCTTGTGTCATAAATCAATGAATCTTTGTTCAAAAGTAATAAAAAAGGTTATTACTAATTTATCAAAGGTCACCTCAAACCGAAAATTCGATTTTACTATATACGCAATAAAGGTAAAAAGTCAAAATATTTCAGAAGCTTTATTTTTCAATTTGCTAATGATGTAATAGAATATTAATGATTTTTAACGCATTAAACAGTCTATAGCGATAGCAGACTTCCAAATAAACAAAAAACAAGTTCTAAAAATTGTAGAAAGCTCCAGAAGGGCATAGTACTCTTATAGCTACATATATCTCTATCTATAAAAGACACGATGTGTGTGTGTGTGTGTGTGTGTGTGTGTGTGTGTGTGTGTGTGTGTGTGTGTGTATCGAATTCACGGCCGCAATTTTCGACGGATTTGCACCAGAATTTACATGCACATGCTCCAAGTTAGTGGTAAGGCCAAGACCAACTTTGCATTTCCCAACTCCTATCGATAGTGGAAATAATCGATTTTTTCATGCTTCTACGGCATTTTTCATATAGTTTGCAGCCATTTTCTACTAGCTAGAGTGAGAGCCAATAGCTGGCTGCCACGAATAGGCAGGAAGATTCTATTGGCCAGCCTGAGAGCCAGCAGCTGACTGACACGAATGTTAACTAGCATGCAAAAAAAATCGATAGCTACATTCGTCACAAGTGCGAAAAATTTAAATCTGCATGGCGCTTTACTCCAATTGGCTCATTCGCTTGCTTAAACTCAACGTTGATTCTGATTCCGCAGAACTGTGTTGGGTGTGAAAAAGTATTTGTTGTTAACATTTTTTTTCATTCGGTTTTTCCAGTTACGAGTCCTTTTTTAAAGCTGATCGTTTTGTGTTCATTTTGTTTAGTTCTTTTTTTCGTAACAGATGTAATGTTTAGTATAGAGCTTAGAAAAAATTCACAGTGTGAGATAGGCAAGAAGTAAGGCATGTAGCAACATCAGCACGGAAAAGGGCACTCTTTTAAAGGCAAGGAAGGGCTAAAATATTTTAAGTCAAGTGATAGCGATTGCTGTATGAGTCGTACTATTTTTTAATCAAGCCCGGGCAACGCCGGGCCATGCTGCTAGTGATTTTATAAATATTTTCTCATATCATTTCACGATTATAAATAATGCAGAAAATAAGCTGAAATATTTTAATCATTCCATACGAAACAAAACAGTAAAACCACTAAGACATAAAGGATTACTGAGTTTGAAAGAATAAGAAAAAGAAACATTATTGAGGAACGAGGACAATAGAAGAGGCATCAAAGAAGACAGTAGATAACGATTGAAATTGCATTTAAACTTTTGAAAATCAAAATTGGCAGGATATCATAGAGCGGTAAGTGAGTTCTACAGGCGAGAAGTGCGAGATAAGAAAGTGTTAGCATAAAAACTGACGGTTACATTTAGCCAATTCAACTAAATTACATGGCAAAATAATACTAACCCCGAAATTCATTTAGATATAAAAAAAATGTAAATGTCCGTAAGAGACAAAAAGGAATAGAAATCAATCTGAAAGTGAGGTAATCTTTTAAAATCGTCGGCCAGAAATTAAAGTAAATATTCAAATCAAGTATATTAGTCGAAGAATAGAATTAAGAATTAGTTGAAAAGAATCTATTTTCGGTAATCTTATTTTTGCTTGATTGATGAGATTTGCCCCGAAGAAGGTTTTTTTTTCTTCGATCTATCTGAATGTAAACATATCAATACTACAGACATTTTATGTGAGATGAAAAAAAAAAACAAAAAAAGCAAAAAAAAAAAAAAAATGAAACCAAAATGAGTGTAATGGGAAGAGGGAAAATTTCTTGTTCAAACCAAGAAGGGATTTCGATATTTTTGATTTTCAGCCATTTGATCAAATTTTGGGATGTGAGTCAATCCGCTAAATGTTTATCATCATCTTGTGTGTTTTTAATTTAATCAATAATAAATGTGTGGACACATTTATACATTCACGCGTGGCCAATATCTATCTATCTATCTATCTATCTATCTATCTATCTATCTATCTATCTATCTATCTATCTTTTTCTCTCGATAGGTAAAAATTAGGTTCATATGAATATAGCAGTCTTCTTTCTTTCTTTCTTTCTTTTGTTTATTTCTTTTCTTTGTTTCTTCTTTCTTTCTGTTGCCAACGAGAAGAGTAAACCAACGTTGTCGGTTAAATACATTCACGAATCTATCTATCTATCTATCTATCTCTATCTATCTATCTATCTATCTATCTTTTTTTCTCTCGATTTAGGTTCATATGAATATAGCAGTCTTCTTTCTTTCTTTCTTTCTTTGTTTATTTCTTTGTTTATTTCTTTGTTTCTTCTTTCTTTCTGTTGCCAACGAGAAGAGTGCGAGAACCAACGTTGTCGAAGTTAAATACATTCAAGCATGGGAAATATCTATCTATCTATCTATCTATCTATCTATCTATCTATCTATCTATCTATCTATCTATCTATCTTTTTCTCTCGATAGGTAATACACTAGGTTCATATGAATATAGCAGTCTTCTTTCTTTCTTTCTTTCTTTGTTTATTTCTTTGTTTATTTCTTCGTTTCTTCTTTCTTTCTGTTGCCAACGAGAAGAGTGCGAGAACCAACGTTGTCGAAGTTAAATACATTCACGCATGGGAAATATCTATCTATCTATCTATCTATCTATCTATCTATCTATCTATCTATCTATCTATCTATCTATCTATCTTTTTCTCTCGATAGGTAATACACTAGGTTCATATGAATATAGCAGTCTTCTTTCTTTCTTTCTTTCTTTGTTTATTTCTTTGTTTATTTCTTCGTTTCTTCTTTCTTTCTGTTGCCAACGAGAAGAGTGCGAGAACCAACGTTGTCGAAGTTAAATACATTCACGCATGGGAAATATCTATCTATCTATCTATCTATCTATCTATCTATCTATCTATCTATCTATCTATCTTTTTCTCTCGATAGGTAATACACTAGGTTCATATGAATATAGCAGTCTTCTTTCTTTCTTTTCTTTCTTTGTTTATTTCTTTGTTTATTTTTTTGTTTCTTCTTTCTTTCTGTTGCCAACGAGAAGTGTGCGAGAACCAACGTTGTCGAAGTTAAATACATTCACGGGTATCTATCTATCTATCTATCTATCTATCTATCTATCTATCTATCTATCTATCTATCTATCTATCTATCTATCTATCTATCTATCTATCTATCTTTTTTTTCTCTCGATAGGTAATACACTAGGTTCATATGAATATAGCTTTCTTTCTTTCTTTCTTTCTTTGTTTATTTCTTTTGTTTATTTCTTCGTTTCTTCTTTCTTTCTGTTGCCAACGAGAAGAGTGCGAGAACCAACGTTGTCGAAGTTAAATACATTCACGCATGGGAAATATCTATCTATCTATCTATCTATCTATCTATCTATCTATCTATCTATCTATCTATCTATCTATCTATCTATCTATCTATCTATCTATCTATCTTTTTCTCTCGATAGGTAATACACTAGGTTCATATGAACATAGCAGTCTTCTTTCTTTCTTTCTTTCTTTGTTTATTTCTTTGTTTATTTCTTCGTTTCTTCTTTCTTTCTGTTGCCAACGAGAAGAGTGCGAGAACCAACGTTGTCGAAGTTAAATACATTCACGCATGGGAAATATCTATCTATCTATCTATCTATCTATCTATCTATCTATCTATCTATCTATCTATCTATCTATCTATCTATCTATCTATCTATCTTTTCTCTCGATAGGTAATACACTAGGTTCATATCATAGCAGTCTTCTTTCTTTCTTTCTTTCTTTGTTTATTTCTTTTGTTTATTTCTTCGTTTCTTCTTTCTTTCTGTTGCCAACGGAAATGCACTAACGTTGTTAAATACATTCACGCATGGAAATATCTATCTATCTATCTATCTATCTATCTATCTATCTATCTATCTATCTATCTATCTTCTATCTTTTTCTCGATAGGTTTAGGTTCATATGAATATAGCAGTCTTCTTTCTTTCTTTCTTTCTTTGTTTATTTTCTTTTCTTTCTTTCTTTCTGTTGCCAACGAGAAGTGTTCGAGAACCAATGCGTACTTTGGCTGTCGAAACTAAATGCCTTCTTCCCGTGTTACATGACTGCTGCTTCTTGGTCTATTGTCTTGCTCTTATTGAAGATTCAAACAAACGCCATAAAGTTTAATGACACTAATATCTATCTATCTGTCGATTGCCAACGAGAAGCGTGCGAAAATCAACGCGTATTTCGGCCGTCAGAACTAGAAGAATTCTTCTAGTGATTTTTTGACTGCTACCGCTCGGACAATTGTTTTGATTATTGAAGATGCAAATAAATCCCATAAATTCTTATGGCCCACTGTACCAAGAAAATTCCATTAATTATTTTGATGTTTGTTTTCATTAACTTTGTTCCTCTTTTTTCTACAGGGAAGAAATCACATCGAGTCTCTCGATTGTCACTGTAGAGACTGAAAAATGCATTAATATAGGTATAGACTTCATTTCATTCTATGTACCGTGTCCATATATTCGTCGTCGATCACGGCTCTCCACAGCTTCCTATTCTTTGTAATTTTACTTTTTCGTCATATTTCACACTTGCTAACCTGCCACCGAGCTTTACAGAAGCTTGTTATGAGAAGCAATGTTTCCGTCTGTCCCTCCTGTGAGTTTCCAATTCCCCGATCCTCTTTCCTCATTATGTGTCCTTAAAATTTCCACATTTTTTTTTATGATTCTAATTATAAATATTGTTTTTTTCCGATTCCTTAAAAATTACTCGTTACTTATATGTTCAGTCTATAGTAGTCTCAGCATCCTTCTGTGCAACGACATTCTGTACAACATTTAAGACTACACTGTATTTATTATTGTCCTCGTGACATTATAATATAAAAAGGTTTCTTTTAGTTTGCTTATTGTTGACTTGTAAAAAGTTTGCATTATCGTTTAACAAATAAATATTAAGTTTTGGATAATTTTCTAGAGATCGTAAATGTCAAGACGTCAACTCCTAATTTTCGAAGCAGCTTGGTCTGATTTGTAAACCAATGTTTTTTCACCAGATCTACTTATGGTATATAAAACGTATCTATCTATCTATCTATCTATCTATCTATCTATCTATCTATCTATCTATCTATATATCTGTCACTGTCTATATATGCTTGTCCCATATTTGTATTTACGCAAAACGACACGAAATATATATATATATATATATATATATATATATATATATATATATATATATTATATATATATATATATATATATATAAAACAGGATGTCTGTGTAACGAATGCAGGGCCGCAATTCTCGACGGATTTGCACCAAAACTTACATGCACATGCTCCAAGTTAGCTGGAAGGCCAAAACCGACTTTGGAAATAATCGATATTTTCATGCTTCTACGGCAGTTTTTATGTAGTTTGCGGCCATTTTGTACTGGCCAGTGAGAACCTATAGCTGGCTGTCACGAATAGGCAGGAAGATTCTATTGGCCAGCCTAGAGCCAACAGCTGATTGACACGAATGTTAACTAGCATGCAAAAAAAATCGATAGATGCAATCTTCACAAGTGGGAAAAATTTGAATCTGCATGGCACTTTACTCCAATTGGCTCATTCGCTTGCTTAAACTCAACGTTGATTCTGATTCCGCAGAACTGGGTCGGGTGTGAAAAAGTATTTGTGTTAAGATTCTTTTTTCATTCTGTTTTTCCAGTTACGAGTCCTTTTTTAAAGTTGATCGTTTTGTGCTCATTTTGTTTAGTTCTTTTTTCGTAACAGATTTAATGTTTAGTATAGAGCTTAGAAAAATTTGCAGTGTGATAGGCAAGAAGTAAGACATGTAGCAACATCAGCACAGCAAAGGGCACTCCTTAAAAGGCAAGGAAGAGCAAAAATATTTTAAGTCATGTGATAGCGATTGCTGTATGAGTCTTACGATTTTTGAATCAAGCACGGGCAACGCCGGGCCATGCTGGTTATATATATATATATATATATATATATATATATATATATATATATATATATAACGAAAGACCAGTAAGATATAATATCCGGTGATGTTTTTATTGTTACAAAATAGTGCTCAATGTAAATTTACAGACCATTAATATTATAAATTAATTGATTTAAGATATGTTTTGTTTCGCTACATGGTTCTAATCATGTTTCAAAGATGGAAGCTAAAATCTCCAAATTTAATTTTGTAATTAAATTAAAGACATTACTTCCATTTCATCCTCAAGCGAATTTTGGAGTAACTTTTAAAATTACTGGGTTTAATAATTGACTTTTCCAAGGATACAGAGAAATCCACTTCAACCAGACAAGGGGTGTCTGCGTGTTCATTATCGCTGTATTTTGATGTATCAGAACTGAAAATACAGCCATATATATATATATATATATATATATATATATATATATATATATATATATATATATATATATGTGTGTGTGTGTGTGTGTGGACGGAGACTTCATCGTGATATCGGTTTGGAGTGGGGACGATCCCAGCTTGCGCCTCTTTCAAAAGTGCCTGAAAACCATACCACTGGTTGCCCCAAATCTTGTGATTGAAATTGGTTAGACGCAACAGTTGAGGCCGTCAATAGCTGTGCTAGCACGAAGTCACAAGTCATCGTTGATCATTCTCCCCCTGAAACTCTAACTATGGTCTGCTCAGCATAGTTGCAGTATAAACCACAGGTGGATTCTGTGGGTGTTGAACAAGCACAAATGTGATTGAGCGAGAGTCTGCAATAGGGATTGGATAGTCGCACTAGTAGATGGGTATCTTCGAATACGAGCGGCCAGCTATTATATATATATATATATATATATATATATATATATATATATGGAGATCTGGATTTTTCTTTTTAATTAAAGTTTTGAATATTTGTAATATCTGTAAATATTACAAATATTCAAATAAGTTTTATGAAGATTTAATAAATAGGCATAGAGATAAAAAAAAACAGAAGCATGAAGTGTAAAATTTTGCGTGGATAAAAACCGAAAAGACAAAAAATCAAATATCAAATATCTGCTGAGGAATAAGTCGTATGTAAACAAGAAATCTTAGATTCAATGTAAATAAAGTCGACCTCAAAAATAGGAAGAAAAAAAACGAAAAATCAAAACAAAAACAAAGAAACGAAACACAAACGCTACATGCAAAAAACAGACACTTGGAAACATGATTAAATATAAAGACACACAGGGATGCACATACTTCTTTTCTGAATGGTATGTTTCCTTCACTCAGTGTTGTTTGTCATATTTATAAAAATATTCTCATGATATAATCATGGATCTATCTACTTTTTTTTTTATCTATCTATCTATCTATCTATCTATCTATCTATCTATCTATCTATCTATCTATTCAACTCGAGTCTTGATAAGTTCTTTCTTTCTGTATACAATAATAATAACAGCACCTAATCTATCCGGTTTAAATATGCACACACACACACACACACACACACACACACACACACACACATATATATATATATATATATATATATATATATATATATATATAAGTGGATATTAAAGTCAGAACCCAGAGGCTACAGTCTGTTTCCTGCTTAACGCAATTGTCAGGCCATATATATATATATATATATATATATATATAGACATACAGATATATCGTCTCAAGTTTTTGATCTTATAAGAAAAAAACACATGCCTGATGATGGATGGAAGACCGTCCGTAAGTACTAGCATTTTAACATCAAATAAACTGAAAAATTACAGACAACAAGTTTTTCTTCAAGGATCAAAACTCGCACTCTGGATGAACAGGATTTTAATGCATATATTATGTTTTCTAGCGACGGATGTCACCAATAATCGCATTAATACTTCTGATTAATTCTATGTGTGATTATTCTTTGTATGTAAGTATATATATATATATATATATATATATATATATATATATATATATGTGTGTGTGTGTGTGTGTGTGTGTGTGTGTGTGTGTGTGTGTGTGTGTGCTGGGCGCAATGGGTAAATTGTTGTTATGTTATTTGGGACATGCGCCTTGTTTTTTTATTTTGTCCACTGCACCGTATAGTCGAAACAGTTGGGTATCATGTGGGAGAAAAACAACACCCTGACGCAATTCACACCACCAGATTTTGAAACAACACGCTGTACTGCTTGGCATTTGCGCTGGTAACTGCAATATGAACATTTCAGAGTATTTGGTTGTCAGTCTGAGGACAGTGCAGAGGATTCGGAAAGCGTTGGATGATATATCCCGTGAACATCATGGTGTTTGGAGCGATCCCAATGGTGGAGACTTTATGCTCATATTTCTCTTCCTATAGGGCCTAAACACGGCGGTCTGCATCAAGTGCCCTGAGGAGGTAGTGCTGTCCTAGGTTAAGAGGTTGGCTACTTGAAGACTCTATGTCTAGCAACAGGACTCTTGACCATCCCACACAAGCAGGAGGAA